GGTTATCTGTCCCTTCCGCATTCGTGCTATAGCTACAACAGTACAGAATTCGAAAAGTATCGAAGAAGCGACTTATGCCAATATTGCTAAGTCATTACTAAAACATTACTAAAACATTACCAAACTATTACTAAAATATTTCTAAAATACTGCTAAAATACTGCTAAAATACTGCTAAAATACGATCCTTGGAGGGCAGGGCGAAAAAAACCAGAATTCTGGAAAAAATTCTGCCACTACCAAGTAAACAGACTGGTGCCTATTACTTAAAAGTAAAGCACGTGAAAAAACCCAATGACTGCCGTCCCGACAGGCCACTGACTATAGAAACTTGTCGTCTCAACAGGCCAAAACCTACCCAAAACAAACCCCTGACTGCTGTGCTGCCGGTCATCACCACTTCTTCAACAATTTCATTAGGGTTGGGTAGGGTGGGACGAAAAAACCAGACAAAGTCGGGTTAGCAGAAAAAACAGAAATTACCTTTCGTAGGAAAAAACCCGTTCCCTTAAAACTACTAATGGCAAAAACTACGTCATTACGACACAATTACTCAATCATACAACAATCAAACAATGCACACGATAATCAGACAATGCATCACTTAACAATTACCGAACCCTGTGATCGATTCGAGACAAAATGCTGCTCCGATACTATCGTATCGGGCAGCTAAATTAGTGATGGGCAACGCGCGTGATCCCACACGTGATGCACGGGATACAAAGTATAATATAGTAGAAGAATATCCATCGTCACCATGGTAACCACACCCCCTTTCCTTATTATCTTATGAGTACATGTAGCACAAATCGAACATTATGCAAACAAGTGATTACCATGAACCAATAAAAATATCGTAACTGAAGCTTCAGCATTTATTTTATGTACAGGACAGGGACGATGATTTTTTGCGGTGAAAAATTACCAATTCCGTCTGTGACAAAACTAAATTCTGCAAAAATTCTGTGCATTAAAAATTGTCTTTTCTGCGCATTTTCCGTGATAAATATTTAAAGATTCTGCGCTAATTATATAGAAAATATGTATATTCTGCAATTAAAATTTTTTTATTGTAATAAAATAACAAATATTTATTCACTAATAAAAGCTTTGCTCTACACTACATGAAGGAATATGTAACCAGATATAATCAAAAGCGATTTAAGATAAAAGTAGTAACTACTAAATTTTAACCAATATTCATTAAGTCAATCATCTTGTAAATTACCGAGTATATCAGGGCGGCCCCCCCAAAGTACGGGTCGATCATCGGCCCAGACTTTGGAGGGCCACCCTAATTTACTTGATAAGCTGCAGGAGTGATTTCAATTATCGATCCGACATCAATTATCAATCCGACGGCGATCATCGACCCGAACTTTGGGGGGGCCGCCCTGATATACTCTAAATTACCCATTCGTTTAATAGATCATCTGATGGATTACTTAACTTAGAAAAAATTTCATAGTGTCGGCTAGCTTCTGTAAATTTTTTTGCTCTCACATTATACGTTCTTGAGGGTTGATTGGTTAAAGGTCACGGGACTGAGAAAAAGTTGCATTCTGCAAGAATTCCGCGGTACCTGCAGCCTTTTCCGTGTTCACAACCCGATTCCGTGATTTCTGCGGCATTCCGTGAAATGCAGAAAATCATCGTCCCTGGTACAGGATAGTACGTAATTTACACTGTATTTAATAAATTGGTATATATACTGTAATAGATACTCTGGGTATCATCCTTTATACCTATTGACATTATGATACGTAGGAGACGTAGAGTACCTCAGACTTATGTGATTTCAGGGATTTGTTATTGTCAATCGAACAATTCTGGACACTCTAAATAGATGGTGCTTTGCAAAACATGTAATCTTCCTGATCCTATTATTATCAATAGTAATTGAGGTTGTGTGATTGCAAAATTCAAGAACTAATTAAAAACGAGAAGTACTCATTCGTGGTTACACGATTTGCAATAATCAAGAATTATACCTGAATCAGGTCTTAATAATGGTATACATGTGACTTATGAATTTACCTGATCTTAAATTTTTTTTTTAGATATTGGACAACTAAAAAAATTCAATGTCTTTTAGATATTTTGTCCGCTACGAGCATTATCCTTATATTATTTATAATGCTCACATTAATCTTAGACACACAGTTTATAATGTTATGAATGTGACATGCCGTCATCCACGTCGCGAGTTCCGTACTACGAAAAGAACCCTTTTGGGCTTGGATAATATGAAAATTGATCCATATGATCCATTTATTGTTAAAATTCGATCAAATCCGAAAATTCTTTCATCTATCAAAGAATTGGTTCAACTCTTGCAAAGCAAAGGAATTGATCTTACCAATGGTCAAACGCCGTCAATGATGCAAATGGCTAGACTCGCAACTGATAAAGAAGTGTCAAAAAAATTGGTAGTCATTGATACGCAACTTCGTGAAGCTGGTATCGTGCTCGATGCGGAAACTGCTCAGAAGTTTATGGACTTATCGGGTAGCCAACAAGTTTCTAAAAACCCAATAACAAGTGCACCACCAAGTTTAGATGCAACTGCCGAATCTAAAATGATATCGGAAACAAATACAAAACAAAGTAATCCAGATGTTGTAACGGCTAAGCCTCAGGAAGCGGTTGGATTTGTAGAGAAAATCAAACACTGGTTTGGCGTAAAAAAATGATGGGATTTATTTTATAATGTTAAAAAAGTCAAAAAATTCTTTCTTTTTTTTTTTTTCTTTTTTTTTGGCTTTGGATTAATCATCAATCACTCTATGCGCAAAATAAAATTTTATTCATTCGTTAATGCGATATTTCTTAAACATCTACAAACAACATTCTTTGAGAAGTAGATTATCAGCCTTATGTTCCTATTCACAACTTATTTAAATTTCTAGTAATGCTGTCTTTAAGCTCCAATTATGAATGATTCAACGAATAAACAAATAATCATTGCAGTATGCATCAAAGGATTAATTGATCTCGTGATCAAAATTTTCATGCATTTCGAAATAATTTCGAAATTGTACTGTACAACGTAAAAATTATCAATCTCTTAATTTTGTGAAAATTTGTGCGTGCTTGTATTCAAACAATTCGTAAATTTATATATTCGAATACGTATTAGATATTAATTAAACTCTGTAATTACTGAAATTATTTATGAATATTATCATATGAAATATTCATATATACATTATTATCATAAATATATTCGAATATAAGCAAGTTTCTTTCAAACCCATGAACCTATGATAACTAGCGGTGTCTTCGCAACTGTTGTGCTCGCAAAGACGGTGATGCGTGCGAGGTCTAGAAAGAAAGAAACTTCCCACCAATCCTCTTTGTTATTTGAAGACTGGAAGATAAGTTTCAACTTACCTCCAAAACTTATTGTGAGGTGTGCTGTTTGTTGGCGTCGACGCACTGCAAATGGTATTTAAACTTCCTTTTATTTTATAATTTTTTCTTTACACTCTTTTTAACTACTTAAATAACCTCCTATATATTAAAGGATATTGGTGTCAATACTGTGAATCTCGTAGATTTCGCGAAAATTTTTCTACTTGGACAAGTGGAAGTAGGTTTATTGATGAGTTTATCCAAGAGACCCAATTAAATTCTACTTGGTGGGCTGGTTATTTAGAATGGATACCTTTTAAAAGATTTCAGAATGTTGAGTATATCGCCAAAGGTGGCTTTGGAAGCATTTATTCCGCTATTTGGGTTGATGGCCCTAGATGGGAATATGTTCCAAATGCTGAAGGCTTTTTAGGAAGTATGTGGAAAAGAAAAGGTGCTTGTAAAGTTGCTCTAAAAATGCTAGATAATTCTAAAGACATTCGTCCTGAATTTTTACATGAGGTTAGTTATTATTATTATTTGAGTGCGTGAGAGTAGAGATTATGATCGATCATATGAAAAAAAAAATTTTAATTGATCACCATCTCTACGTGAGAGTAAAAACTTGCAGCTGCATTCAATGATTTACTATGATAAGTTTCAGGTTTTCACTCTCACGCACTTATTTATAGAGTTCCAATCCGGATAAATCCGTCATCCGTTTAATTATCCGGATATTCAGATCGCCGGATAATCCGAATAAATTCAGATCCGGATAAATGCCTAATGGATTGGAACTCTAATTATTTATTTAAATTTCTAACTTTAATATTTCAATTTTAGCTCAGAGCTCATTATAAATGTCTTTCTTCTGGACTAGTGCTTACTTGTTATGGCATTACCCAACACCCTGATACAAAGGATTATATGATGGTTATGGATTACGCAAAACAGGGTGACCTTACCTATTTTTTGCGTACTCATATGGCAAATGCTGATTGGTATCGTAAAGTTCGTGAATTATGGTATATTGCTCAAGGATTAAAAGCAATTCATGATGCGGATTTAGTGCACAAAGATTTTCACAGTGGAAACATATTGTTTAACACATTTACTCGGTATATAGACTTCTTACTATATTTTGATAATGTTGTTTGAACTCAATTTTTTTAACATTAATATCTTTATGATCATTTTAGTCGACCTGCCATTGGTGATTTGGGCTTATGTAGACCCGTTAATGAAGAATTGTCAAATTCACATGAAAAACCTGTATTTGGTGTCCTTCCTTATGTTGCTCCAGAAATCCTCTTCGGTAAACCTTACACAAAAGCATCTGACATTTATAGCTTCTCAATGGTTATGTATGAAGTTTCTACTTTAAAAAAACCATGTATGTCATATAATCTGAACAAAAAGTTTTTTTTTAATTAAAAAAAAAAGCAAAAAATATTAATTTTTTATATATATAACAAAAGATTGTAATTTTGCACATGATGCTTCATTGGCTTTGGAGATTGCCAAGGGACTAAGACCGCAAATATTAGAAGGAACTCCTAAAAAATATGTTGAATTAATGAAACTCTGTTGGCAAATGGATCCAGAAGGACGACCTAATGCAGCCGAATTAGTGAAGAAATTAGAAATGCTAATGAATGATCAAGAGATTAATAACGGTGTTGTGCTTGCTATGCATATTGATGAGGCTTATCATCCTGATGCTGTATATACAAGTAGGGCTTTGCAGTTTCCAGATTTGAAGAATGCCAAGTTTGATTCCAACTCTGGAGATATTGGAAATGATACAAATGGTAAGAATATATCATAATGTTATACTATTAAAAGAAACTTTTTTCTAACGATACTTTAAAATTATCAATTTGCAGTATATATAACCAAACAATTTGAATTATCACTAGAAAATCTTCCACTTGATTAATTTTTAATTAAACTTTTTATATGTAAAATAATAATAATAATACTAATATATATTTTGATATCAGTTTAGAGCAGCGATTAATATCTTTAGAATATCTTAGATTCCAAATCAGAGAATCTGATTAGTGAAACCATTTTATCTAGGTTCACCATGTGATTAATGATGTCATGTAGTGTCCTTATACTTGTTGGCAAACAGATCCCAAGCCTCAAAAAACAATTGGTTTGGAGATTTGCCATCAAGTAGACATTTTATTTTAAGATACGCCGTTTTTTTTTAAAAAAAAAACAGTATTATTCCATTCATTATAGCATTTGTTTTTAGAAAATATTAAACTGTAGCTTTATAGAAATTTTTAATTATGGAATTAGATATTATTGGTAATTTATTATCAAAATTGTTTTCAATTTCAGTATTTTTATTAGATAAAATTACATATGCATTTTTTTTTTGAAAAAAAAAGTTTGATGCAAAACATTGAGTAATCATCGTTAGAAGGTTTGAAAATCTTTCGAATTTATTAATAGGATAAGCATAACCTGACACAGAATTCATACGTGCCAGAGTTTTAAGAAATTTTATTAAATTAAAATATAACTTATTGTTTTGTACTCGCGCCTAGTGATGGTACCTCTTGAATTAATAATGATAATAATTAATCATTATTAACAAGTTATTAACTAGGAACTATTTGATAATACGTATTTCATTAAATTTATGAAAATTCAGACTTTATTTAAGGGTAATTTTAAAATTTAAATTTATTTACCTCTTCAGTTGCCAGAGCTAAAGACATAGGGGACCTTGTTAGTAATGATGCCCTCAAAAGATGGGCGAAGGTTCTAACATCCCATTATTTATAAGGTCCTTGTAAACATCCGCTCCACATACTTCTATGGGTTTTGGTTTTTTAAGTTCTTCAAAGATTATACAGACCTTATCAAAAATTTCGCTTGTGCACGAATATTTATTTATTATTTTTTTCGTGTTTGGCTATTTACAGAAAAGGGATATATATTTAAGTTTTGGTTATAAACCCAAACTAGGTACAGTATTAAAAAAAAAAAAAACGGGTCCCAGCCCCTAACAAAAAAAAAAAAAATCCGTTCCCAATCCTAACAAAAAAAAAGTACCTTGTAAGAAGATTCCTACATGCTATAAGCTTTTTTTGAAAAAAAACGTTGTTCAAAACGTAATCTTGAATGTACTTTTATCGATTCGAATAAAAAACGTGGGCCGAAGACGAATAGTAAACACCTAGAACAGATAAAAAATTAAATTAAATTACATCTGAGGTTACAAGAAATACAAATTTCTAGACTTAAACGTACCATCGAAGCTATATCATATCTAAGTTTTTTTTATTTCGTATAACAAATATATCTAAGAATAAAAATATATACCTTTGACTCACGGCCCGAGTTAAGCTTAATTCAGGCCGAAATTCAAAACTACACCCCTGCGCGTTATTACGGGTAAATACGGTAATATTAATTTTTTACCTCAGTGTCGTCGCAACATGAAATAGTGCTTTGACCCAGCATTGTACGCGGGATATTTGTTTCGTTTCCACATATAATATAAAATTACTTGGTTTGTGATCAATTGATTGATTAACAATCATGTATGACAAATCGACAAATCGAATTTCAAATTCATCTATTGCTATGTGGGTGCTGTAAAAGAAAACTCTGAATTCTTATATGAAAAATTCAGGCTTAAAATGTACAAAAAAAACCACTAACCTATATCTATACAGTATATATGTAATATGTACAGCACAAAACATATATATAAAAAAAAAACCTTTTATCTTCAGAGTATCTTCAGATTCTTCAGTCATAAAAATATAATAAATATCATGTGTTATTGCCAATCATATTTTCGCGTCATGTTTAATCGTGTTACCACGCGACTAAACCTCCTTTTTAGGTGAAAAAATAAATAAATCCTTCACGTAAAGTTTTTTTTTAGGTTTGCATCGCACAAATAAGTATGTATTCAAAATATATAAAAAAAATTAACCATAAAAATTATTCGTTTTCCCGTATTCTTTTATCCGAAATGTCTAAGCAAGAATATTTCTTTGTCAAGATATTCTAGAACAAGAGCATGCTTGATAAATTGATTGTGCAACAGCATAGCGGGCTTTCATTGTAATTGGCTGATTTTTGTAGATCATCTCATCACATGGGAAAAATATTATTGGAT